CACCGGTCTTGAAAGCGCCCGTCAAAACTTGCCGGATAACAGAAACATTTGCACTTCAGACACTTTAGGGCTAGGGTCGGGGTAAAAACATGAACACAAAGAAAACCGTCTACATAAAATCAACATCTGCGCGCTTTCCATTAGCAGTCTAAAATGTTGTAATGACAGATATTATTTTTATGTCCAATGTACACAATTATCTTACAACCATATCAATGCAACACGTCTGTAATGTGAGACATGAGAATAATAGAATTATATAGTATTTATGACTGGTCAGTTAAGAAACAATAGAATATGTATTACTAAACAGTTTCCGAACTGACGTAATGTTCTGGATGAATTACGGCTACTCTGGCGAGATACAACTTACTTAGCTGTCCTGTGATATTTTCTCGCTATAAACAGACAATCAAACAAATATCAAGGTCAACATCCCCCCTTTCCTTCCTCGAATACCCCGGGTATTTGAATTGTTAACATGCCCCGGGGAGATTCGACAAAACTGTTGTCAGTGGTGAGGAATTTGACGCCACAAGTTGTGGGACCGAGGGGAGGGGTGGTGGGAATTTTGTTTACTGGTGGGTTTGAAACGAGAAACAAAAGCACCTCTTCTCTGATTTTTGGTTGCAGACCTTGGCACGAGAGGAGGAGAACCAGTCACAAACGCATAGGGTCGTAATGAGTACAAAGAGCATCAGCGTATCAAGAGGGCTGAACTAAAAACCGATGACCCTTTTTCTTACATTACAAAATAATGAGTAGAGATTTCTGGTAAAAATGATCTCTCGCGGAAACTGAAAACTACTGTACAGTATTCAATTATTCCCGCGGTGGCCTTATGGTTAGTGCGCTCGACTTCGGATCGAGCGGTCAGGGTTCGAGCTCTGGCCGGGGACATTGTGTTGTGTTCTTGGACAAGACACTTTACTCTCACAGTGCCTCTCTCCACTCAGGTGTATAAATGGGTGCCGTCAAATTTAATACCGGGGATAACCCTAGGATGAACTAACACCCCATCCAGGGGGGAGTAGAGATATTCTTAGTCGCTTCATGCTACAGAAACTGGAATAAGCTCCTGCCGGGCAGACTTTACCTTACCCACAAGTCTATCATTCAGCTATTTTAAATAGTTAAACCATTTGCTCATTCTTAAAAAAATACACCTAAGGTAAGAATTTCACTCTTTTATTAAAGTTTTCTGTAAATGCCTATTGAACTCTCTCAAAAGAACGCTACTCTTGCATTCCGTGGGGGAAAAAAAAAAACATAAAAAAAGGAAGAAAAACAAAAGCTATACACATGTTAAACGTGTCTTCACCACGATACTATTTTCATTCTTAATTTGATACACGTACATACAGTAATATATTTACATTAAATATATTGTTCACAGAACACTGCTCTACGTTTTTCTCCGAGTAATGTGATCGTAAATCACAACTTGAGTGTATTTTGCTGTTTCAATCGGGATTCTAGCTGAATTATCACCAGGCGTCAGAGCCTGAGGAGGAAAAGCAAGATATATGAGTAGACAGACAGAACAACGGGCACACAGACAGACAGACAGACAGAAAGACAGGCAGACAGACAGACAAGCAGACGGACAGACAGACAGACAAACAGACGGACGGACGGGCAGACGAACTGGCGAACGAACGAACGGGTGGACGACGAGCAATCAGACAGACATACTGTACATGTAAGGACCAGACGAGTATACAAACAAACTTGGAAAGGACAGACAGACAGACAGACAGACAGACAGACAGACAGGCAGACACATTGTTGATATTACAAGTTACCTTAGGATCCACGTTAAGGATTTTTCTGTCTCTTTTGTTCTTAAAAAGCAAACCAGATGAATTCTCTGCTATAACCTAAGTAGATAAANCGAACGAACGGGTGGACGACGAGCAATCAGACAGACATACTGTACATGTAAGGACCAGACGAGTATACAAACAAACTTGGAAAGGACAGACAGACAGACAGACAAGCGGACAGACAGACAGACAAACAGACGGACGGACGGGCAGACGAACTGGCGAACGAACGAACGGGTGGACGACGAGCAATCAGACAGACATACTGTACATGTAAGGACCAGACGAGTATACAAACAAACTTGGAAAGGACAGACAGACAGACAGACAAGCGGACAGACAGACAGACAAACAGACGGACGGACGGGCAGACGAACTGGCGAACGAACGAACGGGTGGACGACGAGCAATCAGACAGACATACTGTACATGTAAGGACCAGACGAGTATACAAACAAACTTGGAAAGGACAGACAGACAGACAGACAAGCGGACAGACAGACAGACAAACAGACGGACGGACGGGCAGACGAACTGGCGAACGAACGAACGGGTGGACGACGAGCAATCAGACAGACATACTGTACATGTAAGGACCAGACGAGTATACAAACAAACTTGGAAAGGACAGACAGACAGACAGACAAGCGGACAGACAGACAGACAAACAGACGGACGGACGGGCAGACGAACTGGCGAACGAACGAACGGGTGGACGACGAGCAATCAGACAGACATACTGTACATGTAAGGACCAGACGAGTATACAAACAAACTTGGAAAGGACAGACAGACAGACAGACAAGCGGACAGACAGACAGACAAACAGACGGACGGACGGGCAGACGAACTGGCGAACGAACGAACGGGTGGACGACGAGCAATCAGACAGACATACTGTACATGTAAGGACCAGACGAGTATACAAACAAACTTGGAAAGGACAGACAGACAGACAGACAAGCGGACAGACAGACAGACAAACAGACGGACGGACGGGCAGACGAACTGGCGAACGAACGAACGGGTGGACGACGAGCAATCAGACAGACATACTGTACATGTAAGGACCAGACGAGTATACAAACAAACTTGGAAAGGACAGACAGACAGACAGACAAGCGGACAGACAGACAGACAAACAGACGGACGGACGGGCAGACGAACTGGCGAACGAACGAACGGGTGGACGACGAGCAATCAGACAGACATACTGTACATGTAAGGACCAGACGAGTATACAAACAAACTTGGAAAGGACAGACAGACAGACAGACAAGCGGACAGACAGACAGACAAACAGACGGACGGACGGGCAGACGAACTGGCGAACGAACGAACGGGTGGACGACGAGCAATCAGACAGACATACTGTACATGTAAGGACCAGACGAGTATACAAACAAACTTGGAAAGGACAGACAGACAGACAGACAAGCGGACAGACAGACAGACAAACAGACGGACGGACGGGCAGACGAACTGGCGAACGAACGAACGGGTGGACGACGAGCAATCAGACAGACATACTGTACATGTAAGGACCAGACGAGTATACAAACAAACTTGGAAAGGACAGACAGACAGACAGACAAGCGGACAGACAGACAGACAAACAGACGGACGGACGGGCAGACGAACTGGCGAACGAACGAACGGGTGGACGACGAGCAATCAGACAGACATACTGTACATGTAAGGACCAGACGAGTATACAAACAAACTTGGAAAGGACAGACAGACAGACAGACAAGCGGACAGACAGACAGACAAACAGACGGACGGACGGGCAGACGAACTGGCGAACGAACGAACGGGTGGACGACGAGCAATCAGACAGACATACTGTACATGTAAGGACCAGACGAGTATACAAACAAACTTGGAAAGGACAGACAGACAGACAGACAAGCGGACAGACAGACAGACAAACAGACGGACGGACGGGCAGACGAACTGGCGAACGAACGAACGGGTGGACGACGAGCAATCAGACAGACATACTGTACATGTAAGGACCAGACGAGTATACAAACAAACTTGGAAAGGACAGACAGACAGACAGACAAGCGGACAGACAGACAGACAAACAGACGGACGGACGGGCAGACGAACTGGCGAACGAACGAACGGGTGGACGACGAGCAATCAGACAGACATACTGTACATGTAAGGACCAGACGAGTATACAAACAAACTTGGAAAGGACAGACAGACAGACAGACAAGCGGACAGACAGACAGACAAACAGACGGACGGACGGGCAGACGAACTGGCGAACGAACGAACGGGTGGACGACGAGCAATCAGACAGACATACTGTACATGTAAGGACCAGACGAGTATACAAACAAACTTGGAAAGGACAGACAGACAGACAGACAAGCGGACAGACAGACAGACAAACAGACGGACGGACGGGCAGACGAACTGGCGAACGAACGAACGGGTGGACGACGAGCAATCAGACAGACATACTGTACATGTAAGGACCAGACGAGTATACAAACAAACTTGGAAAGGACAGACAGACAGACAGACAAGCGGACAGACAGACAGACAAACAGACGGACGGACGGGCAGACGAACTGGCGAACGAACGAACGGGTGGACGACGAGCAATCAGACAGACATACTGTACATGTAAGGACCAGACGAGTATACAAACAAACTTGGAAAGGACAGACAGACAGACAGACAAGCGGACAGACAGACAGACAAACAGACGGACGGACGGGCAGACGAACTGGCGAACGAACGAACGGGTGGACGACGAGCAATCAGACAGACATACTGTACATGTAAGGACCAGACGAGTATACAAACAAACTTGGAAAGGACAGACAGACAGACAGACAAGCGGACAGACAGACAGACAAACAGACGGACGGACGGGCAGACGAACTGGCGAACGAACGAACGGGTGGACGACGAGCAATCAGACAGACATACTGTACATGTAAGGACCAGACGAGTATACAAACAAACTTGGAAAGGACAGACAGACAGACAGACAAGCGGACAGACAGACAGACAAACAGACGGACGGACGGGCAGACGAACTGGCGAACGAACGAACGGGTGGACGACGAGCAATCAGACAGACATACTGTACATGTAAGGACCAGACGAGTATACAAACAAACTTGGAAAGGACAGACAGACAGACAGACAAGCGGACAGACAGACAGACAAACAGACGGACGGACGGGCAGACGAACTGGCGAACGAACGAACGGGTGGACGACGAGCAATCAGACAGACATACTGTACATGTAAGGACCAGACGAGTATACAAACAAACTTGGAAAGGACAGACAGACAGACAGACAAGCGGACAGACAGACAGACAAACAGACGGACGGACGGGCAGACGAACTGGCGAACGAACGAACGGGTGGACGACGAGCAATCAGACAGACATACTGTACATGTAAGGACCAGACGAGTATACAAACAAACTTGGAAAGGACAGACAGACAGACAGACAAGCGGACAGACAGACAGACAAACAGACGGACGGACGGGCAGACGAACTGGCGAACGAACGAACGGGTGGACGACGAGCAATCAGACAGACATACTGTACATGTAAGGACCAGACGAGTATACAAACAAACTTGGAAAGGACAGACAGACAGACAGACAGACAGACAGACAGACAGACAGGCAGACACATTGTTGATATTGCAAGTTACCTTAGGATCCACGTTAAGGATTTTTCTGTCTCTTTTGTTCTTAAAAAGCAAACCAGATGAATTCTCTGCTATAACCTAAGTAGTTAAATCAAATATTTTGATCAATGTATAGTTACTTAACAATAACTCCCTGGCGTGGTGTTTACTCAGTTTTCAATTGAGTGAAGCACGTGACGAAAATAGCATTGTGATGGGTCGTTTACAACTACTCTTTATCACTTGATGCTACGATCACGGTATTAAAAAACTGCCCAATCATTGGTGAACACGTTATAATTTTCATGACACAATAGGTTACCATGGCAACAGTATGACCTGCTTAAAACACCCTTAATTAGAGCTTTACGGGCTTATAATTCAAAAACAGCACGGTGAAATTTTTTTCATATCATCAAATTTTAATAAACATGACAAGACAACTTTTGGCAAAGTTTTAAATCTGTACATAAGCTTCAGAGTCAGGTCCCCTAAAGCTGTAATTAAGGGTGTTTTTACCAGGTCATACTGTTGCTATGGTAACCGATTGTGTCACAAAAATGATAATAACATGTTAACCAATGATTGGGCAGTATTTTGATACCATGATTGTAGCATCAAGTGATAAAGGGTGGTTATACTGACCCATCCAAATCTAACTGCTGTGACGTAAAGTTCACTAAATCGATGTGCGGTCTTGACGACTTGGCATCTCTCTTGAGATGGGCAGAGGTGAGGGGAAGAGAGATAAATGTGCTTGAAAAGACTATTTCATCACATGCCTACATCCAAAAGCAGCATGCCATTATCACAATAGTTAATTCCTCCTATAGTGTAAATTGTTTAGTGTAAAATGTTTACCTGGTAGTTGGGGGTGGGATTGGAGGTTGCAGTTTGTGTTTCCCAGTTGTAAAAGCTCAAATCTGATGGTCTGGGCAGAAGCCTTTTCCTTCCAGTAAAATAAGGCTCAAAATCTTCAGTCTGAGCAAACAACAATAATGGAAAAAAATATATATATCCATTAACTGGTTTAAAAAAAATCAATGAACACGTGAAAAATGGTAAACTACAATGTGCAGTTTGATCCCCAGAATTAATCCTCAATGCAAATGAATTACACTAATTTTAACATTAGCCAGAATACTTATTAAATGCCTTTAAATAAATACAGGCTATTATATGCCGTGTGAAAATACAAAATTTATCTTCGAGTGTTGAAAAATATTTCATGAGCTGAGCACAGAGAACGAGTGAAATATTTTTCAATATGACAAGAGAAATTTTGTATATCCAAGTGGCCATGTAATGCTCTATTTATTATATATTAAACACTGATGAAATACAAATCCACTTCACTTTTGCTGCAAAAGGTACCATTTAATATGTAACCATAGCAACAGTGATCTTTTCACATGTGAACATAGCATGTTATTTTCATTTGTGAAGGTATCATTTTTTCGCACAAAAGCTAACCTCGTATTTCATTGGTTTTTATGTACATGTAATAAAATGTGCAGTATTTAAGCAATAGAACACTTTTTCCGTGTTTACATAGCGTCATCTAAACACGAGGAGGGTTCAGAGAATTCAAGACAGTTATGCAAACCCGAGATGTAGTCTCGGGTTTGCATAACTTTCGAGAATTCTCCCAATCCCCGAGTGTTTAGATGATGCTATGTAAACACGGAAAAAGTGCTCTATTGCTTTTATAAAATAATTCTCAAAAATACGCACAAATCTAAAACGTTACAACCGTGTTTACATACTCTCATCTAAACACACCTATCGACCAATGAGAGTGTGCGTAGTAGCGCAGTTAATCAAGTTGCAAGGTAAAAGCAAATTGACTTGTTGTGAGATGAAACAAGACTGCATGGTTTCCAGCGGTTTTACAAAATTATTTAAAACCTGGATATTATTAGTCAGACCAAAATTAAAAGGGCAGCTAAGGACACCATTTACAGTTTTTTTGTGTTTTGTTTTGTTTTTTTTTCCCTGCATATTGAGCTGAACAGACTGTGGCCAGGCAATATGCTAATAATCGTAATCAAACTCTGTTTTATAATCTACATTTGCAAATAAATTTAAGTAGAACTCTCACCTTTAAGCGATGAGCATAGTCAATGTAGCCAGAAATTTCCTGCAAGCATGAAAATATCCACAAGTCTTTTAATTGAAATTAGGTTGATTGCAAATGCTTTAAAATAGGTTTTAATCTGTATATACTAAAAAAACAAAACAAAACAAAAAAACAAAAACAAATTGAGTAGCACTATATACATTACCTGTCCTCTAGCATTCTTGTCCCTGATGAAGATTACAGACTACATTTGAACAGGAAGGGAGAAAAACAAAAAGTTTCAGCATACAGTAAGATTCAACGGCAAAAAAATTACGTATAAAATGTACCATAGAAAAAGCAACAATCTCAGTGTAAATAACAAGTCATAAATTATATAAGTTAACAGTACTTCATAACGGAATTTTGTTTTTGCCTGCATCTTCTCTATGAATAAGTAAAATAATACTTCTCATAAATAAATATGAGAAGTATTCTTTTACATAGTGTCATAAAGACGACAAAGTAAATACCATAAATTATGACTGTCAGAAAAACACAGATTATTTGAGAACACTTACAAAATGTAAGCTAAGCTTTCAAGTTTTCTACTTCGATTTTTCTGTCATGCTTCATGAGTCAAGGTAATATTAACTTACAACTTTATAAACAAAGTTACCCATCACTCACAGTCATTTTTCCACTCCTGTTTGCTTCCTCTCGTTGGGCCAAAGCTTTCAAGAATGGATCTTTAAGATCTTTACCTGAGCTGGCCAAAGTTCTGCAGAAAAATAAGAATCATAATAATGTTAGTAAGAATAATTATCAAAAATATGTACAATTAAGATGATCCCAAACTTCCAAAATTATTTGCATTTTATTAATCTATATAACTTATCATTTGTAGGGACAATTATATTCATGACACAAGAGTCCAGTTTGATTGTCTCAAATTTAAAACTAAAAGTCAGAGTGAATTTCAGTTACTTAACAATACATACTGGGCTCAAAAAAGAAAAAAAAAAAGTTGAATTCCAGCTTGCCTTTCAACAAGGAGCTCTAAAATGCATATGTATGCCAAATGACCCATCAGTCCGGTGCTTATCTCCAGTTTCTGTCTACTACAGAATGAACTGAATAGGAGTATTTCTACTCCCTTCTATAAACAGGATGCTACTCCATCACAGGGTTACCCCCCCTCCCCCTCCCCCAGCATTAAATTCGCCGGTACCCATTTATACACCTGGGTGGAGGGAGGCACTGTGAGAGTGAAGTGTCTTGCCCAAGAACACCACATAATGTCCCCGGCCAGAGCTCAAGCTCAGACTGCTCAATCTGGAGTCCTACAACACACTATCCATGAGCCCACCCTATCTTCACTAATTGTTCAAGGTATGATAACTGAAACTCATAATTCTTACTTTTGCTGGCTTCTCTTGGACAGTCGGCTTGCCTCAGCAGCTTGCTTCCTGGCTTCAAATTCTTCCCGTTTAAGAACCTAGGGCAATCAGTTATGAAATCTGTTATTGTTATTAATTATTTCTAGTCAATTCCTAGTTTTCTCATTATTAGTCTCATTGATACAAACTGTCTTGATAGGCATTATATTAAGATTGATAAAGCTTGGTCATTCAAACATTAACCACTGTTGTCATACCATAAACTGCCACTTATCAGCCTCCCCCTCCCTCCCCCCCCCCAGCACCCCCCGCTTAAAAGCCCCCTAATCATAGGCCAATCTACTTGTGAAGCAAAAAATACCTCCAATTGCAAGCCCCTCCGGATATAAGCCCCCTTCTAGCTTTCCTTGTTTTTGATTTGTTTTATTATAAAGTTTTTAAAAAAAATGATGTTTTTAAGCCTAATTAATAAATAAATGATAAACCTCTTTCGATTAACACTCATTTCAAACACGTTTTATTCTAGCTATAAGCCCCCTTGGATATAAGCCCAGCCATTAATAAGCCCATCTAAAAACCCCTGTGAAGTTGTATAAACCCAAGGCTTGTAAGCGGCATGCGCAGTTTACGGTATACTTTGCCAGTTCATTGTCCTTTCTTTATTTAATGCACATTATATTTGTATTATCAATTTGAAGTGACACTTCACAGAAAATTTAATAAACAAATAGATTTCCCTTACCTCTCCACTTCCCCTGTAGCCTAACTCCACCAGTTGGCGTGCCAACTCTTCATCCTGTGTTATAAATAGCAATGTTATAAATGGCAATGTGTTATATTTTAGAACATCAAAACTTCACTAAAACTACTCAGCAAATTTCAGCAAATTGTTGATTAGTTTTTGTGATTTTAATCAGGTTTATCTTCCTGCATGTACTTTGGCACAGCTCCATACCCTTCCACACAGATTGATATTTTATCAGATTTTACCCACAACATTGTATTTTCTGATGTCATAAACCGTGTTAATGGGCACACTTTCTTAACATACGTCTATGCATAAGCCTAACTGTTTGTCATGAGCTCTAGATACTCCTGAAAATATTTTTTCATCACTATTCATGTTGATCAACATTGCGTCGGTTAGAGGAACGCTAAAGCCAAGTCTTGATTCACCTAATAGCCCAAAGAAACAAAGCAAAAATTACAATATCATCACCTCAAGGTAATAAAGATCTAATGGTGTTATCTGACTGTCTAAAAAGTCTTCATATGTGGCAAACTCTGTCACAATGTTGTCGGTCGCTCCCACTGCTTCTTCGTCCATCTTGACTTTGGCA